CTATGGCAGAGATGGCGATGATGTCAGCGCGCAGCGATGGGTGTACAAATATGGCCGCGGCTTCGGCCTAGCTCCGGAGCTCTTACGCCTCTCATACGGCCGTGACCGGACTTCGCGGCGCTCTGCATTCGGTCTATAAGACGCACCAACTTTTCCCCCTCAGTTTTGGGGAAGAAAAAGTGCGTCTTATGAGCCGAAAAATACGATAGTTAGCATTACCCTACCTCAGTCCTGGGATCCTGTAATTCTGAGCTCCAACACAATGATTTTCAACATCCATCTACCAACATCTCAATCCCAACATCCCGATTGAAGTCTTCGATCCCATAGGCACTTCCTGTTTATGCAAACAGCTATTAACCTGCCCCACTGAGGAAAGTCTGAAAACATTAGGTTGAATAGTATTGTTCCAAAAACATATCTATTTTTTCTCTTTCATAGAGTGACACTTGTAGGGATCTAGACAAATTTCTTGTTTCTCTTCACCAAGGCATCGTTGGATATTACCTCACTCAAAAAACAAGGATTCTTTCTGGTTCATGTGAACCAAATTTTTGCAGAGAATGCGCAGATAACCTTCTGAGTGCACACAAGCTGATGTCCTTGTTCTGCAACATTTGCCGTTCTGTCCTGTTTTTGAAACATCTGTATGCCCCATAGCTCTGTATTGGAGCTCAAGGTTGTCCTGATGTTGATCATCCAATTGACCTTATTGAGGGGTTACCATTTATGATTAATAAATTACTTTTCTATCGTGCTGAGAAACAATTGGACATATTGAAATGTCCAATTGAATTGGATATTGTTGGTAAAAATCTAAAATCTAATCATATCTGTGGAATTTTTCAGGGTCGTGTTTTTGTACTGGTCCATCCAGCTCACATTGGAGGACTTCTAAAAATCTGATTTATTGTTTCCCCACTAAATAAAATGATCTTTTATGTCCAATGAAATCCCCCTATTGCACTCAGTTGACCACCATTCTTTCATTTTGAAGGTTCAACATACCATGAGCTCAATGAGTAGCATGGCAGGGATGATACTGGGCTTCCCGAGCTCTCTGGCAGCGTTTTTAAAAGATGGTCAACAGCACAGTGTGGTAATGGAAATGAACAATGGCCAGCATGACCAAACCAAGGTATTCCAGCATTATTTACATTTGATCCATCATGGCATAGTCACCATTTTACTTTATTGTCAAATTGAGATTTTGCTGTGAAGTCAAGAGCATAACCTATGCACAACTTAAGTGATATATTAGTAAAACTGTTTGCAGTTACCGGTAATTTTTTTTTTACATTTTGGCTTCAGTCCAGAAATTTAGGCATAACATTGGTACTTTTATAGACACTGAAAACACTTACTTTTGACTAATTGTCAATCATTAGCAGCCCGTTATATGTCACACACAAATATATATATATTTTAAGTGTCTGTTCTGGAATTTCTCATACATAATAATTGCTTGGGTATTTGATTTTCTTATTAACAGTAGATTAACTATAGATAGTACTATAGTAGATGAACTATAAAAGTAACCTGTGCCTTGCAATTCGTGAAGTATTAATGTTCTACATAAAGAAAAAAAATCATCTCATTTTAAATTTGCTTAGATCTAAGATCTGTCTGGTTCAGTTCAACTATTCAACCATTACCACTTAAATGTCGACATTTGTTTATTTGTCTCTGTGTAAAAAATATCTTTTGACTTTTAGCGTAGGAACCATGTTAATTTTTCATACAGTTTTCAGAATTTTTCATAATAGTTCTCAAAACTAAATTCCATTCCTCAGAATTTCACATTTGTGCAAATTAGAAATCTGACAATAAGCAAACTCTTTCATACTGCAAAATTTCCAACACTCTGAATTGTAAATGAATCGGTCACTGGAGAATAATTAGAACCGTATTATGACCATTATTGTTTCCTGCTGGAGGACTCGTAACAGTAGAGCCACAATGAGATCTGCAGATGTGCATTGTTTTTTATCTTACTCATCTTGACACTCAATTAAGATGCTTGTTCATGTAACGAAATGTATTTTCCAGACTAACGGGATGCCTAATCTGGTCAGTGGATTAAGAGAGCGGCTTCTGAAAGTTTACAGAGCTGTGGTGCAAACTATAAAGAAAAGCCCTGAAACCAGCTTTGCTTTGGCTAAGAACGGCATCAGCTTTGTTCTGGGTTCCTTTGGCAAAATCCGAGAGATAGTCCTTTCTTTTTACGGCTTGGTGAGTGCTTCAGTCATAGACTGGTATGATTTGATTTGTCCCTCACATGCTACGATGCTGCTTCAATCTACTTCACGTGGACTCATCACATGTGATTATATACAGACAACAAACACACACCTCAAGCCCATCAACCGCTCCTGCTGGGAGCGCACACCCAACTCCAGAGAGCAGAAGCTTTCTTTTTATATTTTCTGTCTAGACCAGGACCACCTTTGGTTTGTTTTAATAAATGGTGACCTTGCTTTACAAGATCACTTTTATATGTGAGACTTTCACTAAAGGAATGGATCATACAGTTGCCCATCTTTCTGCATAAAAGGCTTTTATTGTTTTAACAAGAAGAGTAGTTGCCATAATTCATTTTTTTTAGTTCAGGCCAACACAACCACTTTACAGCAAAATATCAGGCAATGGTTTCCCTACAAACATTCTAACTCACTTCAATGAATTACTGTTAACTAAATAGTTGCACAGAAATATTACATTGACCCTTTATTTAAATTTTCTCAAATGTTTGACTTTCTTTTAAGCTACAGGAAATATCATTAGCCTGTCTGAAAAAAGTATATTTTTTATGAAAAAGAATTGTGTTCTCAACTCAATGTCACCTCAATTTTTATTTATTATTTTTTTCTTTGTTGCAGCAATATATCCTTAAGTAATGTATACCTAATGTAATTATTATATCTTTAGATACTG